ATCACTTTTTGTGAGATGGGCAGTATCTACATTTGAAATATAAATAAATAAATAAATAATATTGGCTCTTCTACTCTGGAATTTCCACAGCTCGGCTTTGAACAGCCTGTTGGTGATAGATGAGCATTTGTTTGCCACAGGAGATGACAGTGGAGAGTTGAAAGTATGGGACCTGCGCAAGGGCACATCCATCATGGAAATGAAACAGCATGAGGACTACATCAGTGATATGATCCTAGATAGAAACAAGAAGCTGCTTCTCACTACCAGGTATTACTGCAGTCTCCTCTTAATTCAATGGATCAATAGGCCAAGTTTGCATGTAGAGAGTGGAGATGCTTTAGCCTACAGGGGAAGGCTAAAAGCTTTTGGATGCAGACTATCACCATCTCTTCTGGTATTATTCTTCTCACTGTTGTAATGGCATTTGACATAAATCCAGAGCTGCCTAGAGCCAGCTCTGAACTGGCAGTGATTTTATTGTTTAAAGACTTTTATGAGAATCTGTCAGAAGGCAAATAGATAAGATTCAGTGATTCAGAAATGGCACATTCTGGAGAAGTCAAGAACATTCCATTCCCCATTTGGAACATGCCATTCTGGAATGGATCAGCAGTTTCCCAAAGTAAATTCCTCAAACCTGAAGCAGAACACTGGAAATCATTCAGAACATCATACCCAAGGCATCTTGAACTACTACTAGTTCAGGGAATTTACTTTCAAAACTGCTGAACTACCAAAAGCGGAGGTTCTACAAGGTCCAGAGGAGAGCAGAAAGTTTTGGAGTTCTCCAGAACACTCTATTCCTGAACTGTCAAATTCCAAAGAGAGGTAGTTTTATAAATAAATACTGTGTACCATCCTATTTCTTGCAGTGGAGATGGAACAATGGGAGTCTTCAACATTAGGAGAAGGCGCTTTGAGCTTCTCTCAGAACCTCAGAATGGAGACTTAATGGCTATTTCTCTGATGAAAGTGAGTTCTGTTATCTAGCTGCACCTTGGAAAAAAGGCTATTTGCAGATATGAACCAATGAGCTACACTATTTCTGATGTGGATGGTAGCAAGGCCTTTAATGAGAGCCAGTGTGATGTGGTGGTTAAGGTACCAGGGTAGAAATCAGGAGAGCATGCGTTCTAGTCCCGCCTTAGGCACGAAGCCAGCTGGGTGACCTTGGGCCAGTCACTTTCTCTCAGCCCTAGGAAGGAGGCAAGGGCAAACCACTTTTGAAAAATCTTGCCAAGAAAAATGCAGGGCTTGGTCCAGGAGACAACACTTACTCAAAAGGACCAAAAAAAAAGTCTTTAAAGTATTTTCCTGCTGATATATTAATATGAATTATGATGACCCTATTCATGGTAGTATGCTTTAGGCTTTTGATTAACTTTTTTTTCTATTTTAAATGCACCTCAGGACCTTGTTCGTAATAGCAAAGGAAAAGAAGACATTATGCTTTTTTTTCCTGGCTAAACTGTGTGTTTTTTTTTCCTGTTCAGAGGGGAAAGAAAGTAGCCTGTGGCTCCAGCGAAGGAACAATTTACCTCTTCAATTGGGATGGTTTTGGTGCCACCAGTGACCGCTTTGCCCTGAAGGCAGAATCCATAGACTGCATGGTTCCCATAACTGACAGCATTGTGTGCACCGGTTCCACCGATGGAATCATTAGGTGAGATTGTCATGAGATAGCGAGCATTCTTGAGAGAGCCTCATACTGGGCAGGTACATGAAAACACAAAGTGGCTGCAAATGAAACTGGGTAAGATCTGGATAAGCTCTTCTTGGCATATGATCAAAGGCAAACTGTAACTTTAAATAAGGTATGATAGATCTCAATATTAAATGAGATTGAAAAAATGATCCTTCTTGAAAAATTCTGCCCAGTTTCCTGGGCCAATAAGGAGAATAGCAACTAGCTAGATAAGCTGTTAATTTTTTAAAAAGAATTTGGGATCTGGCTGGATGCCTCTCTCCACAAAGGAACTGGCATTCTGTTTGCTAATTAAGCTTTTCTTTATTTCAGGGCAGTAAATATCTTGCCCAATCGAGTGATAGGAAGTGTCGGGCAGCATATGGGTGAGCCTATTGAACAGCTGGCTAAGTGTCATACCGGCCAATTCCTGGCCAGTTGTGGCCATGACCAAAAAGTGAAATTCTGGGACATCTCTTCACTTAGTTCAGTGATAGTGGATGATTATAGAAAAAAGAAGAAAAATAGGCAACTGAAACCTTTAAGTCGGAAAGCATTTGGCAATGGGGAAGATTTCTTTGCGGACTTGAAAGAGGTGGCAGCAGACCTGGAGAAAGAGGAGAATGATGGACTTTCTGAGAATGATAGTGACTAAAAGAGGCTCACTCCCCAGAAAGCACATTTATAAACAGATGGCTTGGTTGCCATATTTTGGAGAAACTCAACTGTGCTGTGTTCTTCATATTTAAACTTATACTCTTGTGGGCAAAGCCTTGGTTGCCTAATAAAACCAGTGGTACAGAATTGAGCGAAGATTACAAGAATTTTCCTAGCTCTCCTGTAACTCAGTGAGAAATGGAAGAACAACATGGTTGCCACAGAAAGGGGAAAGTGTAACGTCATCATATGTGGATAGTACATTAAGAAAGAGATTTTATCAGCAGAATTTTCCCTGAAAAGGCCGAAAGGCTGGTTCCTCCATGGATTGATGCTTTTATTTTGCCACCTAAATATTTAGGAATCAGACTATTGCTCCATATGACCGAACAAGTGGATTCCATTTCATTGCTACAGTAGTGAAACAGGGATGTCTCTTAAATTCAGAAGAAAACTGAACAGGTTTAAATAATGGATCTGGTTTTCATAATGGAACCTTTTTGGGTTTTTAAATTATTGCTTTTCTGGGGTTTACTGAAAGAATAAAAAGAATAGGATAATTATACACAGTTAACACACACTAATTTAATGTATTTATGTACCACCTCATAATTACAAACTGGAGTACAGTCAAGTTAAAATACAAAATATAAATTTTGTTCAGTCGTTAAGTCGTGTCCGACTCTTCATGACCCCATGAACCATATCGCGCCAGGCCTTCCTGCCTTCACTGCCTCCCTGAGTTTGCTCAGTTTCATGCTCAAAATTATAAATTAAAGTCCTGTAAAATAAGATTCAGTTTAAAAAGGAAGAAAGGAAACAAAAGTGAAACTCTAGCCTTCCTTATAGGATTCACGCAGGGGAGGTATTAGTGAAGAGGCAGATGCTCTGCTGTTCCCTCATGAAATGGCCCCTCATTGATTCCAGGGATTGTGCTGCAAGAGGCCCTCTGGTTATGTTGTGACACTAATGGACTGAGGTTAAGTTTGTTTGCCCCTTTTTCCGATGGGTTGTTGTGTTTGTGGATATGAAAAGTGGCTTTGGGAACATTTCATACCCAGAGATCTTGTGCTCCCATTCCCACACTTTATTTTAGCTGAAAATGCTGCCACTGAAATCCTGCCATTTTGCTGTTGAATTTCAGTGTGATCTTCAGGTATTTTGAGGATTGCAAATGGGAGGGCGGAGAGCTTAGAGCTGCCAACTACAGTGGTACCTAGGGTTACGAACTCGCCTCGACTTACGAACCGGATACGCGGCCATTTTCCCTGCTGCCACGCAGTCGCGGCTTCCTGTGGGCGAGGTCGCGGTAGCAAGGAGACGTTCGGTGAGGCTTGTGGTGTGTTTTGTGGGGTTTTGGAAGGTTTTTGGT